ACACCCTGGAAGATGTGCCATGTGTATTCTGTGGCTCCAAATAGTCCTCGCCACATCACCCCAGGAATAACTCAATTTAAGCAGCACAATATAAAGGCATGAGTCAAAGAGAGACAAGGAGAAAAGACATGAAGAAAGAGTCAAGAAGAGAAAAGAATCTGAAAGCCAAGAATATGCCTGAGCGGTGAGCTCTCTATCTGGTCCTAGGTCACCCCTCCTGGCCTGGCCCAGCCTATCTCCTGAGAAGTTTACAGACATCCCTGATATGTCTGGACAGGTGTTAGAGTGGTGGCTTAGGGTGGAAAGCAAGACCTAGAACAGGAGTCAGGCCAAGTAAGAGAGAGGTGAGAGGCCAAGAGCAGCCAAGTATGGTCAGACAGGAAAGACTGTCTGGGCGCCAGGAGAGAGACTTGGGAAGGGAAATGGAAAACTTAAAAAAGAGCTGATCAGCATTTGCCTTTTCTCCCACTAAGCTCATCTTTGTTTCACTTCCTCTTATCATTCTGCCTGAGAAAAATGAGGTAAAAACATTAATTTGACCTCCTCAGATGAGGGAATTTCTTTTCCAGAATAGCTACATCTCTGGTCATACCAGAGCATAAGGAGAACGTACCAGGGCTTCTTTCCCTGTCTAAAGGGGATTTTACCTATTCTTTCTGAGTTAGAAAAGACCTCAGATCTGCATCCCTAACTTAGATGGATTATCCCCCCCCCCCGCCCGCATTGCTTTGGGTAAAACAAGGATAAATCTAACTCCCTCCTTTTCTAGTACTAACAACACTGCCCTGATGCCCAAGGTTTGGATATTTTCCCCCTTTCTCTACTGTACATCAAAAGAAATGGAATCACAGGATGGGGACCATTCAGGAAGGGGCTGGGGAGCACAGCTCATAATCCTGAGGAATCTCTGGATTTCTCCCCCAATATCTTGGGTTTCTAAAGGGACAGCATCTAGCCTCTCTAGTACCATAGTTAGGGTTGGATCAGTGTCTTCCTACTGACTCCCATTAGAATTGCAAAGGAACCGACCGTCCTTTTCTCCTAGATATAGAGGCAAATTAAAGTCCACTGGGGTTTAGGCAAAAGCCTTTCTGATGTGATACCAAGAAACTAGAATTTATTTCCAGCTTGTAGTACTAAACAACTTTGGGGGGAAAGTGGGCCTCAGCAGAGGAAATATCAATGGAAGGAAGGTCGCCCCTGGTTTGACCAGATTAGCTAACTGAGCTATTCCTGTCTAGTTCATTTCTCTCCTCTGTCATCTGGCCAGACATGACATATGGGGGAGATTAAAATGACCTGCTCCATCGGCTCCTTCCTTCCTCAGTCAGAAATCCATGTGGCCTGCTTGATTTGAGTCCTAGCGTGCAGGTTGTGACCTTGAACTCTGATGTAGGGATTGTCTCCCTTTTTGCTAGTTGATGGAATTGCTGATCTTCCTGCCACCCGAGTTGAAGCAGGTTCTTGGAAATGACTGGCCAGATGCCTGAGGTATCTTTAGCCTGCCTGGGCTGAAAATAAGGTGGGGAAACCCAGCGGATGGAATGAGTTCAGCAAAAGCTGGAGACATCCTGCCTTTGTTCTCAGAACTATTTGGTCTTTTGCAAGTGGATCAACATAAGCCCTACTGTGTGAGAATTAGAAGGGTTCCCAATGGACTTCCAGTTCAAATTCATGTTTCACACAAGGAAAATGAGACATGGAGATTTACATGACTTTCCCAAGGGCACAAAGCTTTGGAAACTAGGACCATAAACTATTTTGCCCAGTTAAGATGGAAGCTCTTCCTCTTGGTTAGTTCTTAACCAGCCTACACCTGTAAGCCCCCCTTCCTTCCTTTCAAATTTCAAACAGTAATAAATATGAAGAAAATAATTTTTTTTTTTCCCTTACCAAACTATAGGTGCCCAATCACCTTACCTATCTGACCCTTCAGTTTTCTTTGGTCTTCACTTCCAATCTAAACTGCATGTTTCATAGCTCACACCTGTAACCCCAACACTAGGAGGCCAAGGCAGGAGCATTGCTTGAGGCCAGGATTTCGAGACCAGCCTGGGTGGGGAACACAGTGAGACCCATCTACAAAAAAAATTAAAAAATTAGACTGGGCTCAGTGGCTCAGCCTGTAATGCCAGTACTTTGGGAGGCCAAGGTAAGGGGATTGCCTGAGCCTACGGGTTCGAGACCCTCCTGGGCAACTTGATCAAAAAATCTCTACAACAAATCAAAAATTAGCCGGGCGTGGTAGCGTGTGCCTGTAGTTCTGGCTATTTGGAAGGCTGAGGCGGAAGGATCGCCGGAGCCCAGCAGGTCGAAGCTGCGGTGGCCGGGAGTGTGCCACTGTACTCCAGTCTGGGTGACAGAGTGAGACTCCAATTAAAAAAAAAAAAAAAAAATGTGCCTATAGTGCTAGCTACAGAAGGCTGAGGTGGAGGATTGCTTGAGCCCAGGAGTTTGAGATCACGCCATTGCACTCCAGTCTGGGCAACAGAACAAGACCATGTCTCAAAAATAAATAAATTTAAAAATTGCATGTTGCATCCAGGTTTTCCATTTAGCCTCCCTCAAACCACTTGAGTCCCTAAGCCTGTTTGCAGACCCCACTCTCAAGCTCCCTGCCCATGGTGGGAGGGAACAAGGAGGCTAGAGAAGGAACACAGGGTAGGGAAGGATAGGATTCTTGCCAGAGAACCTGCCCTGCCGGGGGCTAGTGCAACCCTGGCTGTGGGGGTAGGAGCAATCTGTTCAACAAAAACAGACCCTATCAGGTGAGCAGTACAGGGCTGAGTAGCACTGCCTGGGTCCTCTGTCAATGTCTGCAGGCAGGGCCTTGATGCTTCGCCTCTTGGGTGGTCCTCTAGCCCCCGGCCCTGTTTACTAGGCCCTTGGCCTCGGCCTCAGTCTGATAGTACCTATGGAAAGTGGGGGAAAGGTCAATGGAAACAGTCTAGCTCAAGCCTGGAACTATTCCAAAATCTGGAAGAGCTGCTGGGTCTCGTGTCTCTAGCTTTATCCAGCAAAGTCACCTGCCAGAAAGGGCAGTGTCCAGGAATGGTCTGCTGTTTCTGACACTTTGTCTTTGAGGTAGTATAACTGATCCCAAGTGGTCACTACAACCTTTGCCCTCCTTTTCTCAATTTCATGGGAAAAGGATGTGTGTGTATAGAGGTGAAGGTGGGGTTGCGGCTCCAGTCTTCCTCTACTGCTGCTTTTCCAGAATCGTGTTTGTTCCAACTTTTTTAAGTTCACAGGCTCATATTAGATGGGATTTAGGAAGTGGCTGTGCTCCCAACACAGACACAGATATATTCGACCAAGTTGAGACTGATTTGCATGTGTGTAGGGGAGAATGACAAAAGGAAAATATTCAGTCTCTTTTACTTTTGTTTTTTGCTGACCCCTCCCTAGCTATAATCACAGACAAAAGTGTAACTATGGGAAACCCCAGTGACAGGTTCCTTGTCCCTGTCCCCGACAACTCCACTCACATAACACCTCAGAGAGCTAAAAAGGGAAACATATCAATCATCACAAATTGCTCAATTATTCTGGAATGTTCTGTTTCTATTCCTGTTTCCTTCTCTGTTTTCTTGGCTGCTTCTATCTTAATACTTACTAACACAACCAGTCAAGGCTTTGTAGGTGCTTTCTCTCAATGGAATCACAGCCCATCTTCATTCTTTACGGTGTAGTCAGAAATATCCAACCTCAGATTGCCAGTCTCTGTCACTTAATGCTGAGGGAACTCAGTCTGCTTGCCTGAATGTGGTTGGGGAATTTCTTTTGCTGTTTTTTTTTTTT